CCTTGTGACGAGTCTATAATTGATCTAGTGTTGCCGTTGTTTTGGGAAACCTTTGCTTTGTTGTCTGTAAATACGAAATCTTTAGTGTCCTATTTGCACAAACCAAAAGTGTCCTCTAAAGCTCCCTTCCTCTCTGATCATCTTTCCTCACACTGACCTAAAGTCTGAACTTCTAACTTCCTGAAACTGTTTATTCAGTAAAATGCAGAGAACTTTATTTAAAAACACCTAAAGCTGCTGTTTATTGGTATTTATTAGTTAGTAGAAAAAGGAAAATCACTTTTCTGGAGGAAAAACCAGCGAATATTTAACGGCTCCTTTCTCTCTACCTCTAATGTTAACTTTGAAACTTTTGCATTAAAGGTATAGTGGAGGATTTTGGTAAATATTTGAAAGACCCGCCCTCTCTGCTTTAAAAAAAAGTCCATGAACGACCCTGTACCCGCTTAAACTTAGCGTAGGAGAGCACGTTTCTCCTGGAGGAGGTGCAGGGAACCAATCACAGGACGGATCATCTCACCAATATTTATAAATAAAACGTTTCCCCTCAAATAAGACCAAAAAATCCTGACCTGCTGGTATCTGTGTGCTGCAGTGGATATTTGGACCTGTTTTCAGCTAAATAAGGATCTGCAGCCACCGTATAACTGACTGCTAATGAAGAAAATGACTAAATAAATAAACTGATCTTCTCTGGAAAATTACAATATAAAGGTAGATAACTTTGACCAGCAGTGTTGCGAAATAGATCCAGTAGAAACATCAGAGTGGGAAGACCGACCTGTGCTTTCAGTCAACGCCACGGCGTGAAAGAATCTCCCAGAAACACTCTGGTCTGGTTTCTCTCTTCTGAGGCCGTTCTTTTCTTCGTAAACGCTTTTACTCTTCCGACCTTCGGCCATTTTGACCATCTGAAAGCATAGCTCGCCACAGATATACGCCTGACAGGACGAGGCGAAGGACGGCCTTACGGAAACATGTCACCAGAATGATTGACAGCTAGGAGGACCACTGACTGAGACGATCCACCCGGAAATAAAACATCCTCCTCTATACCTTTAAATGTGCAAAACATGTTTATGTTAAATAAAGACAGGATTTCCTATTTTATGTGATGAAAAAACCAACTTCCTGTGGAGACATTTAGAAATAAAACTAAGAGGAAAAGAACTTTAACCTTTTAACTGGAATATGATCATTAGGCCTAACGGTGGATAGTGTTTTTATTAATGTTATTAATGGTTATTTTAAGGATTATTGGTCGTTATTAACTGACATGGAAATGTCTTTACGATGGCCTGTTGTTCTAAAAAAGAAAATCCTTTCAGAATAAAAGCAGAACATCATCAGCATCCATCTGTCCTTAAACACAAAACTACCTTAAAAAACGATCTAAACTGAATCAATAAAAATAAAGGAGGATGTTATTAAAGGCATTTAGTTATTTAAGATATAATATTTTAAATCTTAAACTTCTACCAGCCAGAATCCAGCTTCACCTGAAACATTT